TCCGTCAGAGGGTTTGTGCACTTAGACGTTTACTCTTTCTCAAAACCCCGTCTTCATCTGAATGGTAGCATAATGTGGAATCCCCTTCTTTCTTCCCCATTCCGCCTCTAGGAGAGACGGCACTTCGAAGTTTGATGCAAAAACGCATGATCGCACGGGCTCGCCTAGTGCGTTCCAGCCTGGGTTAGTGCTGTTACACAGCACAAAATGCAAAGTGCAAAGTCAAAACTTCTTCCATATTCGTTCTCTGTTACAAGTGAAATGTTAACCAGCAGCAACCCCCATTTGTAAGACTATCGATGAATTTAAATTCTATATTCAAATTTTAATTTCTTTTACCTTTTTTTTGAACATCATTTTCTTAGGAAAAATACTCCCTAAACTAAGAAGGCGCTCGATAACGATTACCGATCCAGCAGCGGGAAACACTGGAGATGCTTGCAAACTCCACGATTACGTGTTTCGAATAGTACCGTCCTGTGCACCAGCTCTGACCATTAGCGAACGGAACAACAACCTGGATATGACAATTGCACATGAGATAGCGGCAATCAAGGATTCCATCTGCGAGCTTAGGTTGTTTTCAGTCAGGCTGTTTTAGGTATTAAAGATCGTATTTTGATTTGGGGCGAAAACCGCGAATTGAACGATGGTGCATTTCTGGATGCAACTAGGAAGCGCACTACTATGGATGTGTGCTTATCAAAAGATTGCGGCAGCTCCCTCACTGCTACTTTTATGGAGATGAAGAATGAGGGAAAGGAGGGGGAGAAACAGAGGTACCAAAATTGTTTTAAGAGAAGGCATGTGAGGGAAGAAAAGCGCAACGAGCGCTAAACGAGGTCGTGTAAATTTAGGTAACTAGTAGAGTGAGCTACTCCGGCAATAAATACGAAAGTGATCCAGCAAATGTTCTTTCACGTGATAAGAATCTTCAAAAACGCTAAATTTAAGAAAGTATAAGGGGAGAGATGGGGCGGAGATTGCGGGCAGAAAGCAAAAATCGCTAAAAAATCGGCAATTATAATTGATACCATGCAAATTCAATTAACAGGTATTAAGTGG